GTGCTGTTCTGCACACGCCAGGGGGTCCCAGGGGCAGGCGGGCGGGTGGGCAGGGAGCGAGCTGCTGCCTGGGACGCTGCGGAGGCCCCTGTGTGATTGTCCAGGTGTGAGCCCACGGGATGTCCTGTCTGGTCCGGGTGGAGGGGAGGGACGCGCCATGGGGCCGAGGAAGCGACGTCTCCGGGTGGAAGGCTGGACAGCTGGCCTGTGGAAGCTTGGTGGGAGCCAGCCTCTTCCGTGTCTGTTGCCCTTGGCCGGCCGGACCAGCAGAGCTCATGGTCATTTAAGGTGCTGGTCAGGGCGGGCATCTCATTGGGCGGCAGGCCACCCAGGGCAGAGATGGCGCGGGCCTTCCAGGGGGGCCCTGGGAGCTATTTTTAGTGGCCTGGGCTGACTCCCAAATCCTGCTGACTATTTCTGGCAGCAGAAGATTGCCCTGAAGGATGTGGAAAATTTTCGCATTAGGAATGTCTGGTTTCCCTTTGGCTATGCAAGGGCAGAGCAGGGAGGCCGGGGCAAAGGGCGAGAGCCCCGGGGGCTGCTGGGAAAAGTCACCAGTGCCGGGAGCCTGAAGTTGGCCATCTTCCTGCCCTTTGGAGACAGGCACAGACTTGAAAAAACACCAGCATCATTATGGGCTACTACCCCTCCCCCTTCGCCGGAGACGTCCCTGTTTTGGCAACAAGTCTGGCATCCAGGACACCCTCCAGACCCGGGCAAACGGGGAGACTTGGCCACCCGAGCCCCATCTCAGCCCATTCAGCTCTAGAACGGAAATTGATACGAAGCGTAAGAACTGAGCTACATACATGATTCTTCCAGAATGTTCACAATCGGCCCGTGCAGTAGGTACTGCTGTGTTCTCTGTTTTACACTTGAGGAAACTGAGGCACAGAGGTGCGGCAACTCGCCTCCTGTGGGACAGCTAGCTGGGTGGTGGGGCCAGGATTTGAACCCTGCAATTCTGGGTGGGCAGGTTGGAAGGGTGGGGGGTAGGGGAGGAAGGATGGTTTTAGACCCAGGAAAACCTGGTCCAGTCGCTTCCTAGCCAGGCACTTGACTTGGCATAAATAATACCTATTTGGCCAAAATGTCCTGAGGGTTAAATGCGGAAGTGTCATTGTACAGACCTGACACCAGCAGGTGCCGAGAAATATTGGTGCGGATCCCCGCCGCTTGTCCCCTCTGGGATGCAAGGCCTGGCCGCGGAAACTCCATGGCTGCCCTCCCGGCCTCCCCTGGGGGGCAGTGAGGGAGAGCGCAACGCGGTGTAGGGACAGAGGCCCCGGGCCTGCCAGCTACCGGCCCAGTTCTGCCCTGTTGGCCTTCGGTGTCCTTGCTGGCCACCGGCGTCCACTTTCCATTCTACCATGGGCGAGGGAGCCCCGCCCTCGCGGAGGTGGGGGAGGTTCCGCGATCACCTGGGACCGGGCTCCCCACCCGCCGGGCCTCCTCCCCAGCCAGGTCCGGCGCTGGGGCGGGCGGCTGGGGGTGGCTGCGCTGGAGGGGGGGTGGCTGCGCTGGAGGGACGCCGGTGCGGACGTGAGCCCAGCACGGGCACGACAGGAATGCGCGCCTGCGCCACCGAGACGCGCAATTCCTTCCGTCAGCGCCCAGCAGGAAGGGCCGGGCGGCCTGGTTCCCAGCCGTCCCCCGGGGCTGGGGAAGTGGCCGAACAATAGAGCTGCTCGGAGGGACTGGAGCATCGCTAGGGAAGGCCCTGCCGGCTCCTGCCATCTTCCAGCCGCCTTCCAGCAGTGGGTTTGGGGCCCAGGCTGGAGCGGGGAGAGGCGGAGGAGCCTTCCTGCGTGCGCAGGCTCTGCGGTGCCTGGGAGGCCTGCGGGTGTGCTGCCTCCGTCGGAGAACCCCGCTCTCCCCAGACACCCGGATAAGGCTGGGAGGGCACCAGCACCCCCGTCCGCAGCCGGGGAGACAGAGGCTCAGGGCAGTGTGCCCACTCACACTGCAAGGACATATTTATTGTGCCAAGAAGCATTCACACTCCTAAAGCACAGGTGGCAAACACAAGGCCCGCGGGCTGAATCCGGCCCTCCACCTTGTTTTATCCGGCCCGGCACCTTGTTTCTACCCAGTGGCAGCGCCGAGCTCCTGGTTAACTGTGAAGGAGTAGTTACATTTGTACAGTCCTAAAATTACATTCAGTCCTTTGAAGGCAACCGTGAGGCTGATGTGGCCCCCCGTGAAAAGGAGTTTGACACCCCTGTGACTAAAGGAAGGGGAAGAATCCTAATTAATTCTACCTTTTTTCTATAAATAATACGTGGGGGTAATCAACTGGTTGATGAAGGCTATTTCTATTTATAGACTTCGACCTGCTTTAAAAAACGTAGAAGGAATGATAGAATCAGCAACTCACCGTTGCCTGCCCCCCACCCCCCAACCCCTCCCCCATGAATTGACTGGCCGGCCGCAGCTGCTCACAAGGCAGGGAAGAGAGGTAGGTGGGGTGAGCCTCTCATGCAGGAGCCCCCCAGGAAGCCATCCGGCCCCACAATCATCAGACCCCAGTCTCACCAAGCTCCTACCCCCACCGACACCTGCAGGAACCGCCAGGGACAGAGGAACCTGTCAGGCGGCACCTCGGGGATGCAGTCAGCCAACTGCAGGTGTGGGAGCTGCTGCGGATGACACAGCTGGTTCCTCGGGCAGACACACTCAGGGAGAGGGGGCGGGGAGCAGAGGAGCAACTAAGTCCATAAGGGAATAAATGAAGGGACGGACGAAGGGGACTCTGCAGAGTGAAGGAGATTCGGGACTACAGCAGCCAATCACCAGGAACAGATCTCGGGATTCTGATCGAAACAAATGGTGAAACACACACACACACAAATACAAATAAACGAAAACCACGTACGAAATCAGAAAGTTGAGTAGATCCCTAAGAACCACCCAGCGGGGGGCAAGTGACCCAGTGGGCACAGATGCTCGCAGTGGGAGCCTTGGGGTCAGACGGCTCTGAGAGTGCCCCCCCGAGGGGGTCACCTGGGACCCTGCCTGCCTCCCCTCCCCGGCACTCCTGCGACAGTCGCTCCCTGGATGACAGTTGTTCATCCTCAGGAGGCATCCGAGAGATACTTTCCCAGCAGAAAGGACCTTCCTGTTCTGTGTCAGAGCTGGTCCTAGTGTCCAGGCTTCAGGGACAGAAAGTTTCACGTCCAGTCTGGGAGGAAGCTGTCCTAGATGTGCCGACGGTTTGGAAGTTAGACGAGGGGAACAAGAATTCCAGATGTTCAAGGACTTACTGTGTCAGGCATTACCATGTTGCCTTATTTCATTCCCTCAGTAGCCCTGGGAGGTGGGTACCTATTCCTGTTCCACTGCAGAAGCTCAGAGAGGTTAAGTAACTTGTCTGGGGACACACAGTGGGGAAGTGGCAAACCTGGGATCTGACCCCAAGTGAGTCTGAATCCAAAGCCTGTGTCTTTTCTTCCTCATCACCTGAAAGGCTGCAGGTATGTCCAGAATGGCCAAGGCTCAGGCTGGCACGTCGTCCACCTCCAAAGGGTACCATTCAAATCTCAGTCTGTGAGCCTGGCACCCCAGCACTGCGCAGTGCCCAGCCTGACAGCACACATGGCAACGCTGTGGGGTGCCTGCGCTCTGCTCAACAGCAACACAATCACAGAACACAATGGTGCCTCTAAGAGTACACACAAGTGAACCAATTGGTTCACGAATTTGTCCTCTTTTGTGTCCATTAAGAAGCGATTTGCATTAAAGTCGAGAGAGGGGCCATACTCCACCTTCCAGGCGCTCTCAGCTACCGGGATTGAAAAGCACCTCGTGATTAAGGAGCAGAATTGGATGGACTCTGTTGGGCTGAGGATCAGGGGAGACTTCTTGGAGGAGGAGGCAGGTGGCTGGGCCCTGAAGGATGGGTAGGAGTTTGCCAGGCGGAAGAAGAGCGAGGGGGCAGTGCGGAAGGAGGAGGGGCATTTCAAGCAGCGGGAACAGCCAGCAGAAGGCGCGGGTGTGAAATAAGCAGGCCCTTCCGGAGCTGAAAGTGGTTTCCCGCGACTTGGGGAGTGGGGGGCAGGTAGGGGCCCTTAGGAGGAATTAACACACACACACACACACACACACACACACACACACACACAGAAGGGACTCTGGAACCCCTGGTCTGGGTGCAGAGGCAGACCCGTGCTGTGTGACCTTGGGCAAGGCCATCTCCAACGCTGGGTCTCTTGTCCGCGTGTGGAAGGAGGGACAGGGGAGTGTGTGTACCGAGCCCCGAGCTCACAAGCCTCTCAGCTTCCTCCGTGATGTGTGTGCACCTCATTTGCCATGACCCTCCCTCCTGGGGTCAGGTCCAGCCAGTCAGTCTGGGAACCGCTGGGTGTGGGCAAAGGCAGTGCGGGGCAAGGGCGGGCAGGCTGGCTCAGCCGGTCCGGGTACCGGCTGGGCCGGGGCGCGCTGACAGCTGGGAGACTCATTCCCACGGGCAGCGGAGGGGCCCACTCTCCGCACACGGCTGGGGGGGGGGCGGGGGGAGCCAGAACGAGGAAGCCTGGCGTGGGCGCCCGTCCCATTGCCTCACTTCACTCTCGCCACGCGCGTACCCTGTTCCCATTCCACGGCTGAGGGAGGCCGTGGCCCCAGTTCTCACGGTTTGTGGAAAGAGGTTTCCAGGCCGCAGCCATCTACTGCAGAGTCCGGGTCCTGTCTAGTCCCGGGGGCCTCGTGGTTATTCCTGCCTCAGGGCCTTTGCATGTGCTGCGTCTGCAGCTTCGACCATTTTTCCCCAGGTCTTCACACGTAGGCCTCCTTCTCAGCCACCTCCCCAGAGGAGCCCTGCCCCGCCCCCCACGACCAGAAAGCGCTGTCCTAAATACTGACAGTCACCTCACACTGATTCACTGATCGCTTACAGTCACCCTACACTGATTCATTGATCTGAACAGCACGTCTACCACGATCTAATGTTTTTTTCTTTTCTTTTTAAAGAAGAAATTGTGTCTTTTTTGTTGTCCCCTCAGAGCAAGAACTCCCGTCACTGCTGTGGCCCCAGAAACGTGTTTGACTCGCAGTCAGCGCTCGGCCGGCGTCTGTTAGGCACCTGTGGGCGTGAGCGAGACGCAGGGAGCCGGAGGGCCGGTGCAGTGGAGCTCACGCATCCATAACGGGGAGGCCAGCTTCTCAAAAAAAAAGAAAAAAACAGCCGAGAGGCCTGAGGTCCCCCAGCCGAGCGGCCCGGGCAACTGAAACCAGAAGTGCAGATGGGATGAGTCACCCCGGGAGCCTGGCAACGCTGGCACCGAACACACTCCGCATCCAAACACACCACAACGCGGCGGGCCCTCGCGTCGCCAGGGCCCCAGGTGGTAGCTCCGGCATTCGGGAGCTGGCAGCAGCTGTGCACTGTGGGCACAGGGGGTGGGGTGGGGGTGCGGACGGGGTCCTAAGCCAAGGGCCACGCAGAGGGTCTCCTGGCCTGGGGACAGGCAATGGTCGGGGCGATGGGGGTGGGGGGCGGTAACGGGGGTGGGGGGAGGGTAACGGGGGGGGGTAAGGGATAAGGCGGGGACTTCTGAGCATCGACCTTGAGAAAAGTGGCTTTGAAAAATGAGCTCAAAGCTGCTCAAAAAGAAAAATTCCACTCATAAACCAAAGCAGACCACTGGATTGTGCAATCCATTTCCAGAACACTTTGCATGCTTGAAAGGGGAAATTCTCTCTCTCTTTTTTTTTAAAGATTTTATTTATTTCTTTTTAGAGAGAGGGGAAGGGAGGGAGAAAGAGAGGGAGAGAAACATCGATGTGTGAGAGATACATAGATCAGTTGCTTCTCACTTGCCCCCAAATGGGGACCCTGCCCACAACCCAGGCATGTGTCCTGACTGGGAATCGAACTGGTGACCCTTAAGTTTAAAGGCCAACACTCAAACCACTGAGCCACACCAGCCAGGGCTCTTTTCTGTCTGATAACAGCTTTAGTGAGATATCTTTCACATACCACATAACTCACCCACTTAAAATGCATGACTCAGTGGTTCTCAGTACATTCACAGTTGCGAAACCATCACCCTAATCAGGGTGAGAACACTGTCGTCATCCCCGAAAAGAAACCCCCTACCCCTCAGCAGTCGCTGCCCATCCCCTCCCACCAGCACTCGGCCACCTCAAATCTCCCTTCTGTTTGGACAGACTGAGTTCTTCTGGACACAACGTAAATGGAATCCTGTGTGACCTTTAGTGACCGGCTTCTTTCTCGTAACATCATGTTTTCCAGGTTCACCCATGTTTCATAGTCCGGCGTGTGGATGGGCCACATTCTATTTCTCCATCCATTGGTGTATGGACATTTTGGGTGTCTTCTGAATAGCGCCTCCGCGAACACATGTGGATACATGTTTTCGTTTCCCTTGGGAACATTTCTGGGCGTGGAATCTTTCTTCTCAAAGGAAGAAAAAAAAAATCCCCGAGTCAAAAACATACAGCACGGAGAGGATTTAAAATGCCGCTGGTGGCGGGGACGGAGCAAGGGAACTTCACGGGCCTGGGGGCAGCAGCTGCGCGGGGCACATACCAGAAGCTCGGGGACTGTTTAGGAAGGCATGCCCAAATTCTTACTCATCCTGGGGTCCCCGGAAAAAAGGCTCGGGGGTGGGAATGCGACAAAAATGGGCCCCGATCTATTCATTCATTCATTCATTCATTCATTCCACAAATAGAGCAGGATATAGTAGTTCGATGTCATTTGAGCCTATTCAAGTGTTAAGAGTCTCTTGGACAGACACTGAGAGGCAGCTCCAGCCCCTGCGTGTGGGACCCGGTCTGGAAGGGAAAACGTAGCCCCATGGAACAGGGGGAGAGGCAGGACGCCTCTGTCCCCTCTCACGCCCTGTGCCAACGGGCACGCCCCCCCGACTCCTGGTCCCCAGGGCACAGGCAGCAGTGGGGACAGAAGGCTCTGTCCCCAGGAGGACCGAGGTCTGCCCCTAAGGCCCCGTCCTTGGGGAGTCCCTGCTCCCGTCTGTCTGTCTGTCTGTCTGTCTGTCTGGCTGAGGCCCTTTTAGGCAACAGAGGACATGTTGCCTAGGGCCTTTTCCCGACTGTTGGTCGGAATAGTTCCGCTGGACCCTCGAGGCCAGTCCAGGCTGTGCCGGGCACCCCGGGATGCTTGGGGTCAGAGATGAACAAGGACAGTTCAAGTTCACCCAGACCCCCGACCGGGTAGTGGGACACGGGGCCCACAAGCAACCCGGAAGGATGAGCGGACTCAGAGTCGGCCACTCGTGTTGGAGCTGCCCCGGGGGCTCCTGTGTGAGAATCCACAACCTTCGGTGTTTCACGGACTGTCGGACACATTCCCACCCCTCTTCCCGGCATCCGTTAGGTTCCCAGGGCTTTAACGTGCGCCCTTGTTTTAAAGAAGATGTTCATTTGCTCATGGGTAGACATTTATCAAGCGCCTACTATGCGCCAGGTCCTCAGAGGGACAGGGACAAGTAAGACTTGACCTCCTCCCCCACTCAGGGCCTCATTACCGGGTGGGGGGGGGAGACCAGCGGCTGGGGGAGCCCTGGGCATGCGCAGGTTGGGGCACTGGGCAGGAATGGCACTGTTTTTATTCTGTCTCCTTCCACTTTCTCATTCGGGACATATAAATGCACATACAGCTTCCATATTGTTTTAGTCCCGGGTCTTCCCTCCATTCTGTCCTCGTGTGGGTCGTACGCAACTTTATTATGCCATTTTTGCTTTTCAACGTTACGCTTTTATTTGGTTCCTCTGAAAAGAAGGTATTTCGTGTCTCTCAACTATTATCATTGCGGTTCCTTTCTGAAGCAATACATTTTGTCTTCTTTAAAAGGTGCTTCTCCCCGCCCCCCATGATTTTAATGGCAGTGCGCTTTCAGTGGAGAACAATTTAGAAACTATAGAAGAAATAAATACGTGAATAAAAATTGCTCATAATCTCATGCGGCCCAGAGACAGGAATTATGGACGACCTGTTGCTGTCTTTCCTCCTAGCCTTGCTCCTAGGCGGTATGTAATACCGTGCACGTTCCTGTTGAGACTCACACGGTCTCACGTGGTGGTATTTCACTCTGGTGACATCGGTAGAGGCGCAGGTGTCTCAGGACGAAGCATCTGCACCTCGCTTCCCAGAGGGCAGCCTCGATTTTCTCCCTCTCTGGGTCTCGAGTTCGCCCCAGGGTGGGAACTAAATTCGGCCGCCCAGGGCGCAGCCAGCCAACCCAGTGGCAGGGCGAGTAGATTCTGGCAGACCTGGGAATGGGGCTCAGAGACGGCGCCCAAGGTCGGGGAGTCAGTCTAGCTCCAAGACCGGAACCCTCGCGCACACCCCAGCGTCGGGGGGGAAAGAGCTGGTGAATTATTCTGTGGGCGGGAGGGGTCCCCCACCCCAGCAGAGGTTCTAAATAAGGCCCCGGAATCTGCTGTGTCAAGTGACAGCTGAGAATCCATGCGGCCCAGTGTCCTCTGCCACCCAGCCCCAGAGTGACAGGGAGTGGGGGGGAGGGCACCGGAGAGCCAGGACCCAGCACCCAACCCTCGGTCCCCCTCCAGCCCCTCTGAGAAAGGAACTTCTCCGAGAAGGGCGCGAGAAAACGTGAGACTCGAAACCCAGCCCGGGAAACGGAGGTGCTCCTTCTCCCGATTGCGTGGTGGTGGCCAGCTTCGCCAAACTAGGGCAGTAAGACTGACCAGGCGAGGTCGGGTGCTGTGAATAGTCCAGAGCCCTCGTGATGGCCCTGGGACGTGGTACCACCGTTCCCTGTACCGCCAGGCAGGGACAGGTGACTTGGCCTCGGTCGCCCGGGGTCGGGCTGACTGCAAGGCAGGCGCCGTGCACCGCTCTGCTCTCCTGCCCTCCCGGCTGGCCCAGGCCCCGCGCATCCTGCAGGGTGAATCACCCCGCGCCCCAGCCTCCACCCACTCTGCCCCTCCCTCCATCACTGCGCCCGCAGAAACACAGGCGCCCCGGCAGCCCCCAGCCCCGGCCCGCACATACAAATATTTATCTAGGGAATGAATAAACACAGACAGGAGGTCTGCAGATGAGATTGGGCTGGAGCCGCCAGGGCAGGTACGCCTGGAGGTCTGTCTGTCCCTGCGCAGCTGCACGTGCCCCACTGTGGGGTGCTGGTGGTGGTGGTCGGGGTGGGGGTGCGAAGGAAGCATCAGATAGTGGGTGCAGCAGCTTGTCACCAAGACGCTGGAGTTAGACTGCCTGGGTCTGAATTCCAGCTTCTCAGCTGTGTGACCTTGGCCAAGTTACCGACCCTCTCTGTGCCGGTTTCCTCCTCTACGTCCGAACAGACACAGGGGCCGCCTGCACAGGATCCCGCACCTAGCCAAGGCTGTAGACTGACGCACAGGATTGGGGAAACCGAGTCAGGACTGGCCGACGAAGTGACTCCGTGACAAGGGGATGCTGCCGGCCTGAGCAGGCTCCCCAGAGGGGGTGCTGTCTGGGCTGCTCTCCCCTCCTCAGGACCAGCTGGGGCGGGTTTGTTTATTGTTTCCGTGGCTTGCGAGGCTCCACAGCGTCTGGGACCCAAACTACCTACTCGGTTTTGTCCGCACGGACTCACTCTGCTCTGCACGGACTCACTCTGCTCACGTCCTCTCCGCTGTGGCCTCGCCGTCCCCGACCCCCCACCGCGGCTCAGCCCCACACGCTGGGGCCGTTCTCGACTCCCTCATCCCCACAGCCTGCGTCCCACGGCGGCTCCCCGCACAAGGCCGCCTCCTCAAGCCCGCGGCCTCCCCTGGCCTCCCCCAGGCCTGCCCGAGGGCTCTGTGGCGGGACACCCTCGGCCCACGGGCCGCCCCAGAGGGCCTTCCAAAATGCGACTCTGACACGCGTGTCTCTCTTGGCCTTGCCCTCCCCGGCAGCCTCCCCATCTGTGTGCAAGAAACCCCCAAATTCTTACAGCTCCTCAACACCCGGCCCTCGAGGCCCAGGGGCTCTCCCCCCTCACACAGGCCTCCTTGCCGCCCCCCTTAGAGCCTGTGCACCTGCCCGCCCTCCCCGTGGGCCCTTCTCCAGCAGCTTCCATGGTGGCCAGTGTCCCTTCCAGGTCGGGGCCCAGATGTTGCCCCCTCGGAGGGCCTCCCCTGGCCGCCAGTCCTGGTGCCCCCGCCCCCTGTCGCCCGTACGCACCGTCTCCTCTTCACCCCGTTCCCGCCTTCCTGTTCCAAAGTGCTTGTTCCTCCCCGACATCACATTTTACTTAGGAAACGTGTACATAATTCTCAATTTCTGCAAGAGTCTCTCTCTAAAGTGTGAGCACTAGGGGAATGTGATTATTGCCTGAAGGGAGGAGGGAGGGAGGGAGGGAAGGAAGGAAGGAGGGAGGGAAGGAAGGAGGGAGGGAGGGAGGGAGGGAGGGAAAGGAGGGAAGGAAGGAGGGAGGAAAGGAGGGAGGGAGGGAGGGAGGGAAGGAGGGAGGGAGGGAGGGAGGGAAGGAGGGAGGGAAGGAGAGAGGGAGGGAAGGAGGGAAGGAGGAAGGGAAGGAGAGAGGGAGGGAAGGAAGGAGGGAGGGAGGGAGGGAAGGGTTAAGGGTGGAGACAGGAAGGAGGGACAGGTGAGCCCAGGTGCGAGCCTGTTGGGGGTGGGTGGCAGGTCTGGCCTGGAGAGATGGTGCGGGGCATTGCGTCGTGGCCCGTGGTGCTGGGGATGGTTTTTGGAACAAAATGTACAGAGCTTTAAACACCAGAAAAGGGAACTAACTGAAACCGGGAAGCAAAATTCAGAAGGGACCCCACCACCTCTTCCTTCTCCCTGGAAGGCAGGCTGGCTTCTAGAAAGGACGGCGAGAGTCGAGTCCTGCGGGTCACCTCCCGGCCTTGGCCCGAGCCGCTCCCTCCCCGACCACCCCACTGGCCGGGAGGGTGTGGACCACGGAGGGGGGGGGGGGGGGGGGGGGCAGGGAGGAACTGCGGCGTCACCCGCTCTGGAATGCTGTGGCTGCCCTGAACTCCCTCCAGACCCACTCAGTTCCCGTCAGAGCACGACACCAGAGGGAAAACCCGCGAGGCCCACTCTGGCCCGCTCAGAACTTAGCAACAAACAGCACAGCAGACCGTCGCCAGCCGCTTCTGCAGCTGCGGTGCTTTCCGCCAGCCCGGGGCTCAGGAGCCGGGCGCTGGCTCTCGTGGAACCACCAGGTTCTTCTCCCAGGAATGGCTGCAGCCCCCCCCACCCCACCCCTCTGTGCTGTCTGCAGGGAGCCTAACAAGGGACTGCTGACAGGTGTCCCCAAGCTTGGCCACCTGGGGCCTCCTGGTTCACCTGCCTGGCGATGGGCTCGCCAGGGCCATGCCCTTGCCAGGAGCTGGCCGGGCCACGGGGGCCACCAGGGTTTCAGGAGCATTCCCATGACCCCAGTCTTTCTCGGTGAGTCACCACCCCTGGACTGTGCCCCCGCATCTGGATGCCCGGAGCTCGGCCCACCCCAGACCCAGCTCCTCAGTCCGCCTCCCTCCTTCCAGGCCAGCCTCACGCTCGCGGGGCCAGACGGACTACCAAAATGTCTCACACGTGCGGGAAAAGTTCAGGAAATCACGCTGCAGACAAACACCCCTCACTCCTATTTAAGCCGACGTGCCCTACTGACTTCTGAACTTGCCCCTCCTCTCCAGAGGACAAGACAGGGGTCCAGACCTGTGTGAGCACCGCATGGCAGGGGGCAGGGGGCGGGGTGGGGTGGGGGGCGGCGTCCCCGGCCTGTGCGGGGCAACAAGCAGCCCGGCGGAGGTGCACAGAGGACCCCGAGGGAGGAGTGTCCCCGAGTCAGGGCTCTCGGCAGCGGCCATGCTGCTGACAGACTGCTGGCAGGTGCCCGACGGGAGCCCGGCACACAGTAGGTCGCATCCCCGCCCCCATCCGCAGCCTGGGAGGCAGGCAGTCTGCCAACGGGGACAGAGAAGGCCAGGCCGGGGCTTGAGGCCGCTCGGCCAGGAAAGGGACCAGGACCGTGAGCCTTACTGGGAGCAGAGAGACGACAGCCACTGGTCCCCCAGGGCCACCCCTTTCCGGGGGTGCAGGGGGAGCGGCCATCCCCAGGCTGGGCCCCTCTGAGGGGTGCTGAGGGCAAGAACTCACAGGGACTGCGAGTGAAATTGCCTGATGCAGTCATTTGGGGGACTTGAGGCAGCGTTTTTTTCCGGGAACGGGGGGGCTCTGGGCTCCCCAAGATGACCCTCCCTCTCTCTCAGCAGCAGCCTGGTGCAGCCTGGCCTGGCAGACTGGTTGCCCAGCTGCAGAGGCAGGAAGTTAGGGCCCACGTGGGGCAGCCGGGGCCTGGGGCGGAGGGCGTGGGGGTCCGGGGCCTGAGAACACAGCAGCCCCCCGCCCCCCCGGCCTGTTGTCCTGACCCTCGACTCTTAGTGACTGTTCAGAGATGCTTACTCAGGACCCACCCTGTCCCCCGCGGGCCCCTCCCCCACACCCAACCTCAGAGGCAGGGCAGCGGGGGTCCCCAGTAAAGCCCCAGGTTGCCAGGGCGGAGTCCCTGCCCCACCAGGGACCAGCTGCGTGGCCCCCCAGGGCAGGTAGTTCCTCCTTCCGGAGTCTCACTGCTTCGTCACCTGTGAGCTGTGACGGTTAAGTGACCCATGGGGCACACTCCTGGTACCCCACACAGGACAGTCCTTATTCCCGTCAATACTGGGGTGCTCTTTCCACCCTCCACACCGCTGTGCCACTCTGAAGCAGCAGTTCTCAAAGTGGGGTCCCCGCACCACCAGCCTGGGGAACCTGCCAGAAATGAAAATTCCCAGGCCGCACATCCACCCCTGACCTGCCGAGTCAGGGGCTCTGGGGTGGGCCCAGGGGTCCATGTTTGGGTGCCATTCCCCCTGACTCTGTCACCTTCCTGCCCTA